TTACTTCTCAACAATGGGGAAACCGTATTGCAGGGAAAGTGGCAACACCCCAACTGCACTGCAAACTGCAAAACAAAGTTTGAAATTTTCAAAGAGATGGATGTATGTTTCAGAAAAAAATGTTAGAATTTCACAAATACCAGTATGCTCTTATAAACTATACCTACCACTATAGCGGCCTCCCACCCAGTCCCAGAATGCAAAAGAATTCTTGGGATCAATGCCAAATTTTTCTACAAGCTGCATCAAAGAGTGAATGAAATGGGATCAAGTAATGCATTTGTAATATGATACGCTGCATAATGCAATTGGCCTTAAATAAAGCTAAATATTAAAGAGTTTCAAGTTGAAATGCTACAAAATTGGTGTGTATGCTTATTTTTATTTTTTCATTTCTTAAAAAATAAAACTCTACTAAAAGAATCAAACTATCGTTTTAATTATCAGAGCCCCACAAGAAAAATGAAGCCACAAAGTATTCACATCTGCAACCATGCATAATCTCAAGATGCAATTCAAAGTTAAGAATAAGGAATAAATTTACATACTGCAAGGTTAGTGCTAACAGCAACCATATGCTTCGCAACAGCTTGAGGCCTAAAAACAGAGCACAGAAATACTCAATTGGATATCTCTGGTTCTGAAATGTACATTATTTTAAGAAGTGCTAATAGAATGTAACAGTAGATATTTGTTCCATACATTAGGGTTATATTTCCAGGACTATCTGTCACGAGTGTATCGCATACTATTCACCATTAAAATAATTCTCTAGCGATATGCATTCGGCCAATCCTGCCTTAAATCCTATACAAAATATATTTCTTGTCCTCTAAAAGATTTGCTTACCACAGCCTTTGAGTGACACCCTTTCTGCTAGCCATAGTGAATAACAAACTAATAGAAACAAACTGCTCATTTACAATGTACAAATGTGCTAGAAGTGGGAAAAAGGATTGGTTGTTTCTCTTACCCTAAAGCAGATGAGATCCATTCTCTCATTGTCCTAGCATTCAGCATAGTCTCAGCAGTTGTAAACGTCTTTGAGACCACAACAACTTTAATTCATGCAGGAAAAAATAGGCAACTGTCAAAGCTCAAAAGGTTCACAGATCAAGTTCTATAACGTGAAAAGAAAGTCAGCCTACCTAGGGTGGTTTCAGGATTTAATCCTGTAATATTCCTGGCAATGTCAATTGGGTCGACATTTGCTAGGCTGGAGCACAAAAGAAGAAATTGTCATGATTCAGAATATTAATGTTGTCAGTATAACTCAAATGTGTAAGCACCGTAATATAAAATGAGAACAAAATTTAAAAAAAAAACCCTAGAGAGTCATCAAATGGCTCCACAATTTTGTAATACTTACAAACGCAGTTGGCGCCCTTTTGCACATTCCATTGCCTCTGGCTCTGGATATTAGGCATTGACAACATGTGACTATCTTGCAAATCTTTATTGCAGTTTGATTTTTTATTTTAAGGGGGTTCTATTATGGGGAAAGGGTGGAGCTTGGGAGCGGGTGCATTTAATCATTGAGGACAAAAAAGCAAAGAACTCAAAGTTTAACTGGAAGGGCAAACAGAAAAAAGATGAAAATGTGAATTCTACTATCATACCTGTTTGAAGTGCAGTATGAACAAATAAAGGTCCTAAGAAGCTGCCACCTATACCTATAGCTACAACATCTTTCAATTCCTTCCCAGTAGCTCCAACCTTCAAACAAATGTATTTTCATTACCATTGGGAATTGTTATCAAGAATAACAACTTGATTAATAACTACGATTACCCAGGAACCACTTCGAACTCTGTCGGAGAAGTCTTGGATTTTATCAAGAACTTGCCAGACATCTTGGACCACATTCTTCCCATCACTGTTTATGACTGCATCCCTGGGAGCCCGTAGTGCTACATGAAGCACTGATCTGTTCTCCGTGCTGTTTATCTACAAAATTATGATGAAAATGATTATCCATCATATTATTACAGCACATTATAAGTTCAAGGCAAATTCTTACATGGTCCTTGGTTCACACTCATTTTATGAACCTTAGTATATAAATTTAATGGAAGAATTGGGCTTCTTGAAACAAGAAAAGGTTCCCATGTAGGCTCATGAAAAATGTGAGAAGATCCACATTTCACATGTGGACCTTAGGATCACAAAAAGCAAAACTCTAAGTTCAAAACCCCTTGTAATACAAATATTTTACCATTTTAGCGTACTTGCCAATACTTTCTAGTTTTATGTGAATCTGTAATTATCGCATGCACTGAATAATTAAGACTATTAATTATTTGCCTATTAATTATGCCATGGTTTCAACTTGCTAGTACCATCCAGTGGCATGTATATTATGTAGATATAACTTGATCTTCAAGCAATCATAAATTCAGATTTACAATTAATTCTAAGACAAGACATATACAGAAACTGTCACTCACATGCTCCCCATTGAACATCCTGTCAATCTTCTCCTTGAGATGTGCAGCCTGCAATACCAAGAGAGAAAGGATACTCAAAAAACAGTCAAAAGCATTCCAATTTTTCTATCCAATATCGGAACATCCTAACAAACCTCAGCCAAGTTCAAGAGCTTTTGCATCGTCTCGAGAGTTGCTCGCTGCCTGGAAAAGTCCAACAAAATCCCATCGAACTCCCTAACGTCACACACAGAAAAAAAAAAGAGCCTTACAATCAAAACCATATCCAATGGAAAACTAAGCTCGAAGCCTAAGATCAGAATTCATACACCATCATGGACTTGCAGCGATCCACATCGCTCATCAGGGACCGCAAATGAGCCTTGTCGATCTCGTCCACATGGCCCTGCGTCGATCAACGTCAACAATCCGACATCAATCAATCGGAGTGATCGGGAAATGCCCTAAATCGCAACGAAATTAGCCGAAATCACTTACTTTCAAATCCCTCCACGCCTGAGAAGCGGAGATTAGAGCAGAGGACGGCATTCCTGCAGAGAAATCTAAATCGGAGGGCGACGGCGGTGCAAGGATGACAGAGGAGAACGGGTTTCAACGAAAGTGATGAAGAAGACAATACGGAACATGCATATATACAAAAACAGACAACACAGAGAGTGAGGGTGAGGAGGTGTGGGGAATGATTCTTTCTACGCACGCCACGCTGTTCTATGATGGCTACCCCAAACTGGCTGAGCCGCTGCTTGTTTTCGACCTTAGGTGGCAACTCTTTTGCTTTTTTGTCTAAGTAAGAATGGGTATAGTTTATACTCTGTATATAGTAGATGTGACAAAAATTGATCTGATCTTGTTTTAGTTTGATACTAGACTTATAAATGTTAGGTTTCGAATATCAAACATAGTTTTCAGAATTGAATCGGTGACCGAACCGGTCAGGTAGAAGATTACTGGTCGAACTAGTAGTTCAATTGGCCGAACCAGTGGTTTAAACATATTTAAAAATTATATATATATATATAGACACACACATTCTCATTTATAAATATCTAAAGAAAGTACTTAATTTATAACATTTGAAAATAATTTACCAAGTTTTGAACATTTATAAGTATAATTCATAGACACACATTCTCATTTATAAGTATAATTCACCAAAGTTATAATAGAATTTAAAATTAAAGAGAAAGAAGAAAAAATAAATAAATAATCGTTAATACTCCCTCCATCCAGCATTATTCTTCTTGTTCATTATTCACAGGATCAAACTTCATTCAATTTGTTGGCGTATTTTCGTTGCCCATTTAATAAAGTAATATAATCATATCACCTCTAGTTTTGTGGATTGTTTCATATAGTTTATTTTTTTAAATTTCATACAATTTTTCATATAAAATGATTTGAAAATAATTTCAGTCAAACATCGTAACGCGCAATGAGAACACTATTTTGTTGGACGGAAAAAGTATATAAATTTGAGACTCGTAACTCTAATAAAACCTATTCGTTATTGCTATTTACCATTACATGTGATGCAATCGTAAATAAACTCTTTCATAATCCATTCGTCCAACCTATTTAACCTTTTACGGCCTCCAGTTCACCGTTTTGAAAAAGAAAAAAATTACTCTCCATCCTAAAGTTATCATATCTTATTTGACTTCTTATACGAAGTATTAAAGCTCTGTTTGGTACACAAAATTCAAGTCATGAAATTAGAATTGGACATTTTAATTCTAATTTTGATATTCGGTAACACAAAAATATGTGGATTTAGAATTGGTAGTGCAAAAAAATAAATTGAAATTGAAGAATCTAATTCCATCTAATTCAATTATATAGAATTCCAATTTTAATTCAATTCTGATTCCATCAATTCCGTGTGGCGTGTATCAACAGATCCTACGGAGTGTAATGATATAAATTTAACATCAATGATTTTATTTTGAAGTAATTTTTGAAATATCATATATATCTTTACGTATACATAGAAATTTAATGGTCAAAGTTTTCATTAGGGGATTGAAAAGTCAAATACAAGAAAAAGGTTTTAGACATCACTATATTTGTACATAAATACCTCGTAAATATTACTCCTATCAAAATATAATATTTTAAAACTAGAATCTTGTTTGGTATTAGCTTTTTAAACTAGCGTCACTATTTTGGATTTTAAAGCTAAATGCTAGAATTGATACCAGGGGCAGACCTAGGGGGCACCACTGAATTTTTTTAAAACAGTATTAGGTATTGACAACAATTTTTTATATAGTTAATAATAATACTTTCTACTCAATAATTGTGTTATTTTGAATCATTTGAATGTTTGAGAAAAATTTATTACTTCGTAGTTTTTTGTTGTTTCTTATTGTGTTTTAAAAAATTAGTTATCTAGCACTACAATGTTTAACTTCAATTTTTTACTGCTATCATTTTTTATCATTTTTATAATTAATAATAATGTCATTTAATTATGTTATTTCTTATTGTGTTTGTAAAAGAAATCAGGAGACGCTGCCTCCGAACTCTCGTCACATGCCCACACAATCCACGTGAGAAGTTCTGGCCCCTTTACTCTTGACACCGCTCATTTGAGAGTCTGGGTCCGCCACTAATTGTTACCAAAAATACACTAAAATATGGAGTAACATTATAATTAATTGTAATTGTAAAATCAAGTCAAAATTGCTTCACTATTTTGGTAAATTGATAAAATGTACGAATCTGAATGTAATTATGTCCACATTCATACATCTGGAAAAAATGTTTGAATCTGAATTTGAAAGCACTACATTGATAATAAAAACAAATTAAACAAAAAACTGGAAAAATAACTACTAATACAAGTGTAACATATGCAACACACATTTGTCATCTTTTTTTAGCAGAGTAGAGTTTTGCATACCTCATTGTTCTGAACATTTTGAAGAACAGATTTGAACGTCTCCTTGTCCTTCTGGGTCTACTTGAAGTATTGCCCTCCATCTGAGACTTTACAGAATGGTCTTCTTTTCCAGCCCTAGCAAACATGGCAATGAAAAAGCCTTCTTTGTCCTTGACCGGGTCAGTTCGCAGCAATTTTTCTGCTGAAAATGTGTACTCAGACGTTTTAGTAAAGTGCGACTGAAATAGGCTCCTTGCAATGTGCAGAAAATCCAGTAAAAAGGTTTGTTTAAAGATATGGCGAGAAAAACAACCTAGTAAAATCTCACAAAGGGTCTGTTTGGTTGGGGAGGGAGGGGGTGGGGTGGGTGGAAGGGGGTCGATACGAGGGAGGGAAAGGGATGGATGGTTTTAACCTATTATTGTTTGGTTAGGGAGACGGAGGCGGAGAGAGAATGGAGACGGAGAGAAGAGGTCAAAGTTCCAAGACAATAATAGGTTGGAATACTTACATCCAGCCACGACTGGAAGACCACGGTGAGGCCATTGAGGAAGAACCATTTCCAGTTCAAATCCACAAGATGTGGCGAACGGTAACAGGGAACTGATGACATCTTCATTCTCGATTTGGTGGATGGAGCAAGTGCTGTAAACAATTCTCTCCACTGCTGGAACTGCAACAAAATTGCAAACAAGTCACTAACATGCATTCAGACATAGAAGCAAAAAGATGCATCACACAAGAATTATATACAAGCCTATCGTAATGCTAAAGAAAGTACAAAATTAGGCTGAAGAAAACAAAATTATATACTCACAGCGCAATGCATGTTCCAAAGCTTTCTTTTGGAAATTTGCTAGTTTTTGTAGTCTATCCATGTCAAGAGCATCATGAGTACCTTCAGAGGCAAAGGGAAAGCATGTAACTTGCAGATGTTAAAGAGGATTGCCTCAGAATCAGATGACTACAATATCAAAACATGCATCACCGGTCAAGTTAACCAAATGGATGTGGTTGGGATAACACTTGTACTGGTCCAAAACACATTTTTAACAGTTACTCCATATTCCCCAAAGTAGAGACTAGAGAGCCATTGGATAATTTCCCCAATGAAATATGACATAAAAATTGTGCCATGTCCATATTTGTGAGCAATTTAAGCAACATAGAGATAGACTTTTTGAATCTCCACACAATATTGGGGCCATGGTATACAAAAAACAATCTAATATTGTATAATATATATTTGTGTCCACGCAAGTGTGTGTACACAAATATATACATATGTATATGGGGTTACCATAGCGTATACACCAAATTTCACATCATATCTCTTTTGTATTACTTTGATGCAAAAGTGTAGCCTGCTCAAGTAACATGTGTTCTTATCCAAATGATCTAAAATAACATGTGTGCTTATCCAAACAACCTAAAATAACACGTGTTCTTAGCCAAACAACCAAAAAACAACTATAAGCAAGGTTGTCAGATTATAACAGACAATTCATGGATGTAACTCAGATCGTAAGATCCTAGGCTTCTATTTGGTAAGCAAAATTTATAAAACACTCCTCTATATAAAATTAGATACTAAGAAATAAGAAAACTTTTGTCCTACCCATTTTCATCCACAGACTACCACCATTTCTTATTCCTGGTGGATAATATTCGTGCAACTCATTTATATTGTATTTCATCAATTTTTTTGTTACCTGCATTGGCTGATGATGGGAGAAGATGGTCCAACCTATCAAGAGCAGTTCCAGACCCAGAGCAAGATGGATCCAAAAGTATTGCACGAACCTGTAAGAAATCAGTTGTAATGAAAACATTTAGAAAATGAGTACATCTCCATTATACCCCGACATATGACCACCACCAAAGTCCAAACAAATATCTTAGATTCCTAGCTCAAGCAGCCACATCCCAGGTTTCTGAACTCAAAGCTTTTGCTATTGCATGGAAATAATGCAACTTCCCTTGCCTTATCCAAATCACATTCATCATAGAAAAATTCAACAGCCCAAAATCCCAACCTAGGGTTGTCTTAATGATTGCCACTGAAGAATTCTTTTTTGATAGGTGCTAGAAATATAATCGTAAAAAATATAGTAAAATGACTACAAAGCTTTTACCAGGCCATCCTCGGCCTAAATCAGTCATGTGTTAAAACTCAATTTAGTTTTAAAGCTCTGCGCTCTACTGTTGCACTCAATAGGTTGTAATGTACTAATGTGTTTATATATTTTTTTCGTAACCTTTTCAGGCAAAATTAGCATTGAACCACCAAAAGTTAGATATGTTACCCCTAAAAAACATTTAAAAAGGCCTAATGCAGAAACTTGCACAATAACAACATATAATTAAATTTAACATTACTTGTCAATTGTGTTACCTTTGAATACAATGGATCTTCTGGGCTCAAGTTAAGGAAGTCATCATGCATAACATGCACATCTAGGCTGAGTTAAGTTAACATATAACGAATTTGATATGAATGAAGACGTGAAGTAATAGATCATTAAAGCTTGGGATCAATTATTATCTCAACCAACTTGAGTTCAATTATAATCTATACCAAAACCATGATACAGAATACAGAGACATGTGAATTTTGAAGATATAAATAATTGCACTCAATAGAAAACAAAGGATACTAGTCGCCCCAGCCAATTCAACAGTGTGTTTTAGATATTTAAACCTTCCTTTATCTAGTTCGCAAGCAATAACCTTTCCCTTTCCATTCATTAGGGCAGCAAGATGAACAGTTTTGTTACCAGGTGCAGCACAAGCATCAATGACCTTCACAAGAATAACAAACTTATTAATTGATCAGGAAAATAACGGAAGAGAATGGTATATGTATCGTATTGCTTCTTTTTCTTTTTTATTATTTCTTTTTATAGGAATGCTTTGTGCTTCTCAACGCGCGCTTCACGTGCTTGGTGCTTCTTGCGTCTTTTTTTCTACTTTAGCTTGCTCTATGCTTCTTTTTCCGTGCTCTCTTGAGCCGGGGGTCTCTTGGAAGCAGCCTCTCTACTTTCGAGTAGGGGTAAGGTCTGCGTCACACACCCTCCCCAGACCCTACTCCCGTGGGATTTTACTGGGTTGTTGTTGTTGTTGTTGTTGTTGTTGTTGTTGTTGTGTTTATAGGGATGCTTCATAATTCTGTTTATGTGATTACCTCCCATCCTGGTTTAGGGCCAAGTGATGCAGCCACCATGGAACTTGCCTTACCCTTGAAAAGGTAGAAATGGAATCAGTTGAATCATTAAAAAATCCATGTTAGTCATACATGTTATACATTTGAATACATTATGAATATCATGTCATCGTGTGTTATTGGCATATTGTATAATGTAAATCATTTCAAAAATAATTCTGAACTAATAAATTTCAGAACTATGATACGGAATAGTTAAATACAGAGAAATGGGATTTGCTACCTGTAAAAAGACAATTCCAGTTTTCACAAAAGGATGATCATGCAAGTCTGTACCGGGTGGGCATACCAACAAGTCAGGGATCATGTCATCCTTTACAACCTGTTTGACACTAGCATAAGCAAGAGTAAGAAAGAACATCAAAGCCAGTATCATTCCAACTCTGTTGGGGACATGGGGTCTGGGGGGTCAAGATGTAGGTGTCCAGATATGCAAGTCATTGATGTGCCGCACAACTCAATTCTAGATATGCAGCGGCACTGGTCATTGTGCCTTGCACATTGAGCACAAATTTCACGACTATACTCGAAGCACGTGAAAATGCTCAAACTAGAGGGGGTGTTGAAATATGTAAGACTATATTTCACATGTTCCCAATGATTGTGAAAAGTCTCTTTATAGGAGCTTCACCAAGTTAGTCAAAAAATCTTTGGTAGTCTAAAGTCTCTTGAATAGTTGAAAGGTTAGTTAAGTATCTGTGAAGTTTAAAAAAACTCTTGATATCCAGCACTAATAGTGACAAGTAAATTGAAACGTTTCCAAAAATATCATGTATATATTGTGTATTAACTGAAGGATCAATACTTTCCTTAGTTCCTAGTTCAAAGTACAAGGCAAATCTACTTATCGAGTCTTTTCAGCCACAGATATCGTCAAGAACAACCCCAATATAATCTCAATTTAGTTCGAGTGTGGGGAGCCAAAGATGTACCTTACCCTTGTGAAAAAAAGGTTTTTTCTGTAAGGTCAGTTCTTCAAAATAGACACTATCAAACAGTAAAATGGTGCACCCTAGTTTAGGGTAGCCCCACGACTGTGAAGTGTGTGTACTAGACCTTATTCTACCTATAATAGATAAACTGTTTCCTAAAGTCCACCGGCTCATAAGGACAACCTTTCATTTCTATTATTTTCAAACATATTGAAAGGAAGGTGCCAAGTCAGAAAATAAAATTCAATAGATATTGAAATATAAAATCTACAAATAAAATTTTGTAAGGTTTAGAACAAAGATTATCATGCACCTTATATTGTTTCATCAGCTCAATTAATGCAGAGTCAACATCCATTTTAAGAGTATTTACACGAACATAACGACACTTTTGAGAATCTGCAATAAAGCAGAACAGCATTTCCATTTATCAATTGATATTTATCTCATTACCACTACTTCAACAGCTGTATAACTGTACTCCATTCAAAACTTATGAGTTATATATAAGTCTATGTGTAAATACCAGGTTAAATTATTTAAATGTGTAAGCCACGGATAGTAGGTGAGGCTATAATTCAAAATGAAAAAGGCAAAGGAAAAGAGCAGTAAAAGAGAGAAATTCTGAGATATACATTCCTCATTCTTATAATCTTATCTCACAAGAATAAAGGATTTCATATATTTATAGTAGTGATAATAAAAACAACAACTGAGTGGGGCTCTGGGAGGGGTGAGCGTATGCAGACCTTATCCCTACAGGAAAAGTAGAGAGGTTTCCAAGATTTTTATAGTAATGTACTTCGAAATTTTCAGGACAAAATGAAGAAAAAACTCCAAACTGAGAAGCTTTTCTCAATTCAATATTTAGTTATGAGAAATTTACTTAAATAGGACTAAAACATAATGACTTTCTCAATATAGGACTATATGTTTTTATTTCCCAATATAGGACCTTTGGTCATTATGAAGTAATCATTATTCAAGTAAATGTCCTTCATTACTGGACATTATTCTTCCCACTAGGTCATTATTAAGTCCTATTTAGGGAATAAAAAAGTTTAAGTCCTACATTAGAAAAGTCATTATGTTTTAGTCCTATTTAGGACAAATTTCACTTTAGTTATTTGACTTCTTTTCACATGCATTGAAAGATTCAACCAAGTATTAACCATTCAAACGCTGCCAGGAAGCAAAAGAGATCAAAATGATTACCATGAGGAGTAATTAATTCATTCACTTTTTTTACCCCTCTTCTTACTAAGAGACGAGCTAGAGCTGACTGCAATGCAACCTTTCTGAGCAGTAGAAACTTTTCAGCATCGCCAACTAATGCATCTTCCTGTTGAGAGGAAAGATGATACGTAAAAATTATGGAGTGCAATTTCTATAACATATAGATATAGGTATCAACTTAGAAATGGGAAAACCAATCCAGGTTCCATCCTCAAATAAATAAAGCAGCACATGCCTAAAAAAGATTTTGTATTGGCAACAACTTGAAAGCATTTTCCAATCAATCCACATAAAGCAACTAAAGGTATCCACTTTAGGCTAGTGACTTCAAATCAATTGTTGAAACTATGTCCATTAAAGTTTCTCTACCCACCAAAAGAACAGTTCTCTCTGTAGACTTATTTGATGCTCACATAGTATACAAAGCATGCATATACTACTTAGTACTTACTCCCTCCATCCCGCTATATTCGTCCACTTTTGACTTTTGGAACTGTTCATCTAAGAACTTTGACTCATCAAATTCTCTCAATGTGTAAGCCTAAATAGAGTCATGTGTGATCTTGTTTGATTTGTCTTAACATATATATTATTAATATATAATTTCTATAATTTTTAAATATACAAATTACACGATAAAATGGATCAAAGAAGTGTATTGGATGGTGTGTAAAAATGAAAGTGGACAAATACTCTGGGACGGAGGGAGTACCATGCAAGATTGCATACAACAATTACAGCAGGTTCTTTGCCTCACACACAATGCCCAATTGCATAATTACTCTTGCACGTGTGTTGTGATGTTGATATTATTCACCTTCCAAAAGATGACATAACTGTAGCCCTTACAAATTGTGAACTTCGATGCTATCTCTATTTCCATTGAATCTAAATGCATATATGTAATGTCCACTATTTATTGTCATGGAGTCTCTACGCAGCAAGTGGCAACAAATGAGCTCAACAATTTCAAAACTAACATGTAGTCCATGTCTGATGTCTCCATATAAAGCATAAATGAACAATTTACCTGTCCAAACAGAATGTCATATGTGACTATATACATTAACTCTTCTTGTCTCTGCATCATCAATAGATAATAGGGGTTAAGTCATTGATTGAATGGAACATTAGGTCAACATAGAAATGAATAAAGCCATAAACCATTAGATAACAAAAACTGAAGGTACTATGTATTTACTAATCATAACACAGTAGTGTGCATGAAACAATTTATCTAAACCGTGACCATGAAATCCTCTATTTAACAATGGAAAAAAAAATTCTTTTTCGGATTTTCATTTGATAGAGAAATATATACCTAATGTTACAAAACACATGATTTAACATATCTAAAGTAACATTATGTAATTTCATGCAAACGGAGATTTTGAATATAAATTAGTCCCTACATCACAAAATATAGGTCCCAGTGGCTTTTTTGTGTGAATACTAAGGTTAATTTTTCAAATTTACCCTCTAAAATGTGGGTGTCCTTTAAAATAAGATGTCAATTGCACAAATAGTACAAAATGCCAAATCAAAAGAGGGAAAATTTGAGAAATTAGAAAGTTAGTGATCAAAAGAGAGAGTGGACATAATAGTGGCAGATTGGGCACACCCCAAAAAGAAGAAGATTGATATTCATAATAAAATGGAAGGAGGGAGTGCATAATTTAAAGAAAAAAATGAACAATAAAAAGCTCAATCATGGAGATACATTTTCATAGTAAAGTCTTCATAAATGAAAGAAAAAGTAGAAGTATGACCCAGACACCCAGTCAAATCTATCTTCAAACACATTAGAAATCAATTTCAAGCTCATAACACTATTAATTTCTGACCTTCCATTTTCCAGTCAATACATTGGAAGCCCCCAAGACATCCTTTATTATAGAAAGATCTGCAACATAGGTAGGCGATTACATTAACTACTGTAGAGTGTGAGAAATAAACCTTCAGCACTCTGCTATTTAGCTAGGATAGCAATGGAGAAAGCCATTAAGCTCCATCTCTATACAAACTCAAATTAGAGCACTCAGTGCCCAGTCAATTGCCTTGAGCTCTCAAGGGATGTATCAATTGCTAAATCTGATCGCCCAAAAGATAAACATCAGTGCTGACTTGCCAATGCTTTTATACCCTCAAGGCCCCCTCCCAAAAGAAATTGTATGCTTGTATCTCCAATCCACATAAGCTAAACTCTCTGATCTTTTGGTAGCCGTAACCACCATTACACCTTCAAGTTCTAAATATTTTCATTTATCGACTTCTTTCCCGGAGTAAACAAAGATACACACATCTTATTTATAAATTTAGACTCCAATCTTCACTTTAAGACTCTTAACTATGCCCTGTGATACATGTAGCATTAGCTTGAAAATGCTACATAACTAGTATTAACTCAATGGGCTCCTGTGATACATGTAACATTCCATATAAAGTGAGTAAAAGAGTAGAAAACGACTCTTTTCCTAATCTTCAAAACTACATACCAAGTAAAAATTAGGCGACATAAGAAATCGGATCACTATATCCTTATTATCATATGTATTAAGTTCAATCATGAGTGAATTGTTTACGCTTGAGTGTTTCGCAGACGAGAGCATAAGTAGCTCTCTTGTTCCTGACGGATGGGCCGTAAACCAGCGACTTGATGGAGGCGACGGCTAGGCGGCGAGAGTCTCCTTGGAGCACGGTGCGCAGCACCTTTGCGGCTTCTCTCCGGGAGAAATATGCTGAGCGCTGGGCATTGGTTAGCCGCTTCCCCGCCAGAGATTTCGTCCCCGCACTCTTATTTGGAGGCTTCTCCGCCGCCGCATTTTCTGATTTCGATTTCTTTCGCCGCCGCATGGTTCCCAGCGGAAGCAGCTCAGGTTTGGTTAGTTTTTTCAAGCGAGTGTAGGGATGGCAATGGTTGATTTTCCTTAGCCCAAGCCCCCGTTTGAAAAAAAAAATATTTAGGGGCAAAAAAACAGAAATACTATATTATCTTAAATAGTGTTCCCAACTACTTGTTTTTTCTCATTCTTCCAAAACTACCCTCTTCCTTCTTTCTTTCTCTTTTTTTCCCTTCTCCGGTTCTCCTTATCTTTTTCTTTTTGCCCTCTTTCTCCTCATTTTTCACTCTTCTTCTTCTTCTCTCTGTCTCGAATCTTCATCTTCTTTTTCTTTATCTTCTTTTTCTTTATCTTCTTTTCTTCTTCTTCTTCCCGTACTCTTTTTCTTCTTCTTCCCCTACTCTTTTTCTGATCCACACAGGTCCAATCCCCTTCTTCGTCTTCTCATCGTCCTCCGCCTCTTCCTCTTCTTCTAGATCCTCCGCCTCTTCCTCTTCTTCTCATCATCATCCACACCGATCTACACAGATTTGTAACAGATCTGTGACAAATTACCCTCCGCCTCTTACTCTTCTTCTTCCCTTCCTCGCAAATCTTTTCTGTCTTCCAAATCTGCGATGGAGGGCGATGGCGGCGATGGAGGGACAGGAGGTTGTGGTGGAAGCTGACGGCACTGTAGGTGTAGGTGGAGGAGGTGGGGTTGGCCGTTGTGGTGGGAGATGGCGGCGAGCGACGGACCAAAGGTTGTGGTGGCGACAGGGAATTGGTAAAGAAGGTAGGGTGGTCAGAGATGCCGACGACGGTGGCTAGCGGAAATTGGGGTGTTCATAGTGAAGGGCATTTTGGACCATTTCTCCCCATAGTCAATCATTCTTGAAAATGAGGAAAAGTCAAACCGAGAACATCATTCCCGGACGGAGGGAGTAGTTGGATGTACCCCAAACATCCCCACCCCCTCCATCACCACACAAAAAGGCAAGAAATTTTCAAAAAAATTTAAAAATAAAAACAAAATGGAATGAATGGTTAGTAGGAGGGTGGTGTACATTTGGGGTACACTTTTTGTGTACCCCTAGCATATCCCAACCATTTATAGTATTTTAAAGAAAATATTATCTTAAATAGGACCAAAACATATAAAAGTATCAAAATAAAAATTCTACTCTGTATATTTTTATTTTCGAAGTAAGAGTTCGCACTATGGTAATGTGACATTGTACATGTGCACATAACTATACTTTTAGGTAATGTACAAGACCATGATTGGTAATGTAATTGCATTTTAATTCCTATTTCGGGAATAAAAACTATTTGGGTATGTTTTCAATATTTTGTTCTTACTTTAATCTTTTTTCCTATTTTAAATGAGATTAATTTTTTCCATCTCAAATCAAAATCGAACTGATATCAAATGGGACAGTATTATGATTTAAAAAAATTAAAATTGATTATCAAAGATTGAATTGTTTGAAATTATCTACGGAGCATATCAAATATTTTTTTTAAATATTCTTTCATTATTAGTGTTGTTATTACAGTAATTATACTATGAGGGATTTTTTGAGTCATTGATCATTCGATATTGTACGAAATGAAAAGGTCTTATTTTTAAAAAATTGGTCTCGTAGTCGTTATCTTGTTTTCTCTATGCTTATGATATTTTTAAATTTGAAATAGTTACTTTTAAACAAACTTTTGCTTTTTATACAAAATTGTTCTATTTTAATGCTATTTGAGATATTCATGTTTAAATTTTTAACACAGTTTGAACATGAGTATGATATTTTACTGTTCAGTTTCAAAATAGAATCGTAATAAATGGTTTGGGGTCATCTTGTTTTGATATCAAACCGGTTAAATAAAAATGGCTCGTGATAGGTTCTGAAAGTATCACGAACTTCGTCCACCCCTATTTAGTGAGTGTTTTTTTTGTGTTCATTAGTGGTTTTCAATTTATAAATCCGTTTTGATCAAATTATTTACAAAGTATAAAATTATCCCTCACCAGCCACCATTTATGAATATTTTCAAAACTTTCATGAAAATATATTCAACTCATAAATAGCTAATAAGCTTAAAACTTTTATTAGAAATAAGTCAATAAGCACCAAGAGAACCACCTTAATTTTTCTATGGTTCACATATGAAATATGAGTCCACGTGTGTAATGTGGACCTAACATATTTTCCATTGACTCGTAATTAGGTTTCTTTCTTTTTACAAGACCTAGTATACTTCCTCCGTCCATAAATAAATTAAAATTCTCGCTACGCGATATGATATTTGATTGAAATTATTTTCAAATCATTTTATATGAAAATGATATAGAATTAAAAAATAAAAATTATGTATTTAAAAATTACATGAAAAGATCAACAAAACTACATGCAACATGACTATATTATTTTATAAAATAAGACATGAAAATATGTTAACAAAGTAGATAAAGTATGATTCTATAAATAAAATGATAACTTTATTGTTGGACAGAGAAAGTATACGATTATTCCGTATTTTATGTGTTAAGGATCATAAAATGAGCATATAATTAAAATCACAAAATAGTTTGTCATATTTGAAATGATACTCTTCCCATCATTCTTCTCATACATTATGCACAAGGTCTTAGACATAGGCTTGGTTTGAAACTTGGTTGCTGATTTGAACAGCTGACTAGTTTAGTTGTTTTGACCAACTCTTTGTATCGATTGTTTTAATTTCCATCATCTCTGATGGAGCCAAAATTTCACCATTTTTTGGCTTTGGAGTGTGATGGAATAAATCAAAATGAATCTCTAAACTGTCTACGCTTCTTTAATTAATGAAGTAGCAGTTAGTCAAGCAATGCAACTTTCGACGTTGAGCCGGGGGTCTCTTTGAAAACATCCTCTCTACTTTCAAGTAGGGGCAAGGTCTGCGCACACACACCCTCTCCAGACTATAGTCTTGTGGGATTTAACTGGGTTGTTGTTGTTTTGTATTGATTGTTTTACAAAATTGTTTGGCGAACTACGCCATTTACATTTAGCTGTTGTAAGTGAAATTAGATTTAAGGACATCTCCATTTATCTAAATACATATATGGATCAGTGGCATTTTGAGGAAATTTTTTTTTTTAATGTAAATTACTCTCTTCATCCCAAAATAGATCACAATGTTAGATTTACAAGATAAATTTCTTATTTTTAAAATTATTTTACCTTAAAATTGGTGTAAAAATAAAAAATAATATGGAGTACTTACATATTAAAATAATTCCTTCAAAAACTGTATAGTACAAGAAATGACAAGAATATTTTATTTATCAAATAATCAATAGAAACACACAAATAAATAAAAAGTTAACGAGTGATTGATATAAAAATTTATAGGACAGGAAGGCTTTTCTTTTTTACACGAGTGGTTGGAAGCCAAAATGCAAAAAATGTTCTAGAATATATATTTTCAAACCAAACTCATCAAAAAATATTGAGGGGTGGGAGGGAGGCCAGTGGTGTAGAAGGCCGGGCAAGAAAGGATTTAGCGCGAAAAGCCCACCCCAAACGCCGCATCATATGGCGTTTCAGTTTTGGCTGCACCCAAACACTAATTTTGGGGTGATTCATGGGTCAATTCAACTCTATATGATCAAAGAAGCCAAACATAGCCATACTCCTCTATACATATATGATGCTACACTTTTGGTGTAGATTCTACACTTCATCTATTTTTTAAACAAAATGACATTCATACACTACACTTATTCTGGTGGTACACAACTTTGGCATATAGATACTACACTTCACCTATTTTGTAAAAAGACAACCATGTACTACATTTGTTCCAAACTAGACTCGTACCCGTGCGATGCACGGGCTATTAATTGACATATAATTACCCAATGGTTTGAATTGAATAAGGAAAAATATTACAAAAACTTGAAAGATTATATAAATTGAAAAAAAATAGAAAAAAGAATGGGAGTTTTGGAGGTATTATAAGTTTTGAAACACTTCTTTATAAACTACATTCGTAATTTGGTTACATGAAGAAAGGTCTTAATTGCAAATCAAAATCTTTAACACTTTTCGTGCGTCATGGTAAGAATATTTAACCATTATTTTAAAGAAACAATGAATAAATTTTACTTCGTATGATATTAAAAAAATTGGATTCAAATAAAGTGGATGGGTGAGAAATTAAAAAAATGAATTTATTTACATGATAGATAAGAACTTACTCTGTAATAAATAGTTGAGTTAACACCAATAAAAATAGAGGCCAATTACCATGACATTGATACAACAAATGTCATGGGATGACCCGTGGTGCTCCGATGCCCCGTTCATAAAATTGACGGTTCCTACCTTCCTAATCCCCCCGGTAAACCCCCCACCCCGTGCGTTGCACGGTTAATTATTTATCTAACAAAATTAATACTTCCAGGATGCATTTTTCTGAAAAATTAATTTTATTCTTTCAGGACATATTCCTTCCTTCAACTAAGTGAATGATTTCAAAGTTTACTCCCGAAAATTGCAAAAAAGAATACTTATCTTGATTTTATGTGTTTCATTGTGATACCCAATAGATCCAAATTACATGCAATCTGTACGAAAACAAATGTTTTTAAAATCATTTAGAAGATACTTTTATAAAAAGCACAGATCAAGTATTTGCTTCTCCCAAGGTGTAATAGCTTCTCCATACTCGCTTTCTCAAATCACAGACGGAGTCCTGTACTTTTTTTTTACTTAGAGGGTTTACATTTTCACCTATTCTTTGCAAGTACAAATCAGTTCTTTAATAAACTTTAGGGAACAGTCACATGGCTTTCATATCCTTCTGTGAAAATAATTAGAAGAATATATTTGGAACCTTTAATTGCTTCTGTAAAGAGATGAAGAAACAAACCATCCATATTCATCAGATTAAGTATCAACAACAACAAAAGAATGTCAAACAAATGTTACTGTGAAATAATTGGCAATTGATATGAATTAATCCCACATAAATACTTCTATTCACGGTCATGGTTTGAATTCCAACCGTTGAAGTTAGTGACTTTAAGATACCTTTTTTCCACGTAAATACTTCTCCACCATTGAACTCCAATGTCAGCATTTCGTGAATGGATCCATCC